CCCCCCCCCCCCCCCCCAAAAGTTATGGTTCCCTTGAATTGTTCCTTTCAAAATACCTAGGCACACAGGTAATCGTCCTGAATCAATAACAAAACTCAAAAGTAATATTACAACATATTTTTCTGGATTTCTAAAATTGGCACTAGATCCCTCTTCATGATGAGCTAAATAAATGTAATAAAAATGCTGAGCCTCCTGAGGTCTAATATTTCTTCTAAAGTATTTCCATACTTACTGCAGAATTGCTTTAAAATACCTCACTGGAATGAGAATACCACAGTAAATCTCAACACATTACAAAAGCACTAGAGCACTGAAACACTCTATTATTATTAAACAGCAATTGGTTTCTTTTATTTCAAAGAGTAAGTGAAGTAACTCTGTGGAATCTGCCTTTACTACAAATACTAAACAAATACTTGGGAGCTTCCAATCAATTTATAATATTTCCCCTCCTTCATGACAAAGATGACAATAGTTAAATTAACTGAACTGCTTATTGGGAAGTCTAGCCAGTACACTACTACAGCCCCAAAGTAAGTTTCTAAATTTTTAAAAAAATATTTAAGGCAAAGTTGAAAAGAAAATGACTTTTTAATTTCATGAAAAGATACTATCATGTAACTAAGAGCTTTTGTTGCAATTCTATACATTGGCCTAAAGAGAAATTCTATTATTTACAAATATGTATTATGTAAATAATAATAATAATGATAATAGTTTAGAAGCAGCCCTCTTACTGAAAGACTGTTTCTTACACAGACTAGGGGATATTGCAGAAAGACAGTTTTCTATACAAGATATTTCCTCTAAGGAGCCAGGCTCACTGAAGAAGTGTTAACAAGACTATTCTTTTTGCAATGGACAATCTTATACACTAACACAGATCTCTTTCCCTTTTTACTCCCCCCCCATCCTTTTTTTTTCTTAGACTTAATTTCCTCAGAATATCTCCCCAACAGTTTAACATGCCTGACATCTGTTTGACTGCTCCCATGATCTTGCCCATATTATTCTATTATTCTGTCATAATTCTTGTTATGAAAGTGCAAGGAGTTAGAAAGCCTCTGCAAAGACCACCTACTACAAAACCATCTTGAAAAATGCCTTTCATAAACATCATCTTCATCTTTACGTGAGCTTCTCAAACAAACTGCCCTCTCGCAA